AACCCCCTTCCCCTCCCCCTTTTCTGATGAAGGGTCTAGGCCCGAAATGTCAGCCTTTCTGCTCCTATGATGCTGCTTGGCCTGCTGTGTTCATCCAGATCTGCACCTTGTTGTCATAGAACTGTAGATGCTGGAAATCAGAAACAAAATCAGAAAATGCTGAGGGAAAAAAAAACTCAGCAGGTCTGACAGCATCTGTGGACAGAAAACAGAGTTAATGTTTTGTTCACAAAGTCAACACACCACCCTGTCCCTGGTGAACATCTCTTTCTCGGGCTTGCTGCAGTGCTCCTGCGAAGCTCAGTGCAGGATGGAGAAACAGCACTTCACTTTCCACTTAGGAACCCTGCAACTTTCTGGACTCAAAATCAAACTCAACATTTTTAGGGCCTGAATACCTGCTCCCAAGTCCTTACCCCAATCCCCACACACCAGGCCTTGTCATCACAAGGGCTGCTACTACACACTATCCATTATCAAGCACAAACAGTCCCCATTAGCGATTATTCAGTCTCCCAGACTGCCCTGTATCCACTCCTTTGTCTATCCAACTGTTTTTTTCGCTCTCTGGGCTCCATCTCCACCTATTGTTTACTCCTTCCTCCCTCCTCCCCACCCCCCTTCCTCCATCTTCAACATGTATATCAACATCTTACAGCTCGTCAGTACTAAGGAAGTGTCACTGGACCGAAAATATTAACACTGCTTTCTCTCCACAGATGCTGCAGACCTGCTGAGTTTTCCCAGCAATTTCTGATTTTGTGCCTAATGCTACAATTGGCTTGGAAAGCCTGGTCAAAGAAGTGAATTTTGCCCATTGTCTTAAAGGAGGAGAGAGAGAGAGAGAGAGGCATAGAGTTATAAGGAGGGAATTCTAGAGCCTAGGATCCAAGCTGCTGAAGGCATGGTGACCAATGGTGGAAGTAAGCCTGCGTGCATGAGCAAGGGACTAGAATTGGAGGAGCACACAGATCCCAGATGGTTATGGGACTGAAGGAGTTTGGGGGGGTGGTGAGGGGGCAAGGGCCTGGAAAGATGTGTAAACAAAGATGAAGTCAGAAGTCACACGACACCAGGTTATAGTCCAACAGTTTTATTTGAAATCACAAGCTTTCGGAGCATTGCTCCTTCATCGGGTGAAGTGTTGATATGCCTCCACTTTGAGCCGGCAGATTGTGGTGCCAATGACAGCCATGACATGGAGGTGTCGGTGTTGGACTGGGGTGGACAAAGTCAGAAGTCACAATGACACCAGGTTATAGTCCAACAGGTTTATTTGAAATCCCAAGCTTTCAGAGCGCAGCTCCTTTGTCGGGTGAAGTCTGTTGAAACAAAGATAAACATTTTAAATAGACGGTCCATTCCCCCTTAACTGTTAGCTTCATCTAGCTGGGGAGGGGGTTGCTGTGGCACAGTGTTAATGCCCATACCTCTGAGCCAGGAGACCAAGTTCAGATCCCATCTGCTCCACAGGTGCGTAATAGTTTCTCCAAACAGGCTGATTAGAAAAATAACTCATCCGAATAGTTCAGTTATACTGTCTTGAACTGCATCTGAGAGACATTATGTTCCAAAGTTCCAAAGTTTGTTGCCAACTTTGTCCAACAGCGCTCCCTGCTGCACACAACTCAAGTGGAATTTTCCGTCGGCAGACTGGATGGGTCACATTCCCTTTAAAGGACTTGTTCTGGGAACGAAGCACTGGACACATCTAACGAAATGTGTTCAAACATAAAACACAAGCAATCCATCACTTAGAGAGGCAAACCCAAATTCTCAATGACCTTTATGTTTGAAAAGGAAATAATAATTATAGATGTTCTCCTCACACACCCCCACTTCTAGTGGATTAGCCCAAAATTCAGCTTTAAGGTTTCCCTTAAGGCTGCACCATTCTATTTTTGTAGGGAGGTCACATGGTGATAAGAATATCCAGCAAACACCTTGTAAGCATCTAAAATTACATTGTGAGTCCATTTTAACAATGATAATCCTTAAAATTGTGAAACTGATGTCGGATTTAGTTTTTTTTCTGTAAATGGAAATATGAGTCAGTTCCATGGATGTGGATGAGGGGGGGTTCGAGGATTGTCTCATCGGGAGATGAGGGAGATAAATGTTTGCGATGAATCTAAATAAATGTTTTCAAAGGCTGGGAACGCTGTCTACTATATTTAATAGAAGTTGAAAAGATGAGACAAGTTTGTTTCGCCGTACACAGTTAGTTATAAATGTTGATATTGTTTAAATGGGGAAATAGATGACCTGAACATTCCCCCCCCCCCAGGGAGAACGATGGTGCAGTCAGGTCAAAGGTCGGCACGTGGTTGCCCGGGGAGACGGGGCCTGCTCCTCGCCGCCGCCCGGAGATGGAGGTGCAGAACTGGGCGGTATCCAGCAGCGAGGAGAGTGAGGCTGAACGGCCTGACACACCGCCCCGGGCTCGGGGCTCGGAGCCGCCACCGCCAGGTGAGGAGTTAGAGGCCGGGCTCCCCTCCCACCCCGGGCCCTAGAGGCGGGGGACTGTTAACGGGGACGGACTGACGCCCTCCAGGTTGGGGGACTGTTAACGGGGGCGGACTGACACCCTCCGGGTTGGGAAGGCGGGGGACTGTTAACGGGG